GCACGCGTCGATCTATTGAGCGTTGCGAAGGGTCGAGGATGTGCGACGCAAATAAAAATGTCACTCTTTTTTTCCTTTACACGACGACCCTGTGTAAAGTCTCCCCGGGTGAATTTATTGAAGGTCAAGGAGTTACCGAACGATCGACCGTCGCGATGGACAAAGGCGAAGCGTCCAGATAATTAACGGTATCGCGGGGAATAATGCGGCTAATAATACACGCGACTGTGTTTTATCTCTAATCCAACTGCGCGACCTTTCGCGAAAGGGCACCCATTATTACAGGGGTCAACGAATCTGGCCAGTTATGACAGTCGACACTCGATAAAAATGATCGGCGCGTCGCAGTTTGTTTTTTCAGCGCCACGTGCTTGAGAAACTTGAAGAAAATATAATAAAAATATAATCTCTGAAGCAGCTGTTCCGTGCAATTAACTTAACGTTCATTTATATTATGCGGATAGGATTACGACAGGAAATATTTTAATTGTTAACAATTTGCTGCTGAAATTATTATCAGTCAACGCTAAGTTCCCCAACTGTTGCCTTTTAACTGACGATAATGTTCGATAATTCGATTAATTCTGCAATATTGGCCTCCAACGAGTGGTAACGTTAAATTAACGTCGATTCATTATTCCCAATTAAAGTTAACGTTTCATTACTGCCTAATCTAATTGTGCTAAACACGAATCGAGTTAAGCGTGATTAGCGTTGATCAGCGTTGATCTTTCGGTGAAAGGCGGCCATTCGGGCAACCATTTTCGGCCCTCCCGAAGCAAATCAACGCACGACAATGAGGGTCCGTAGAGATCGGTCGAGCATGTACTTTTTTGGGTCAGAGGTCACACGCGAGTGAACCTAACGGCGACAGCCAGGAGTTCCACGCCGCGTTCTTCTAACCATTAAAGATCCCTCAATTTGTAAAAAAAAGGACAATTGATAAAACCATGAATTTTTAACGGAAAGTAGGCGTATCTTCAAGATAAAAATGAACGAATTGAAGGGCAATCTTAATGGCGTTATTTAAATCCGACTGCATTGACGCCGATGCGAGGGTTTAGCATCGATCTCGTGGCCAAGTAAAGTTTCATGATACAAAAGACACGGTTATCTAATTAGAAGAATTTCCGACGTCAACTTTTATACAAATTATAAAAGTCACGTGGAGATTCGGCAGTGACTTTTCCCTCGAGCAAGGTATAACGCAGAGCGTAAATTCAGTCTCGCAGCGGGCAAACGCGTTTCGATCTCGAGCCGCGGACTCGTGTTCCTCAGGATTCGCGGAGAAAGGCCTCGCATTAGGGTCGCCTCTGTAGAAACGGATATTAGAAAACGGCTCTATACAGCGCGATCTTAAACCTCTTTACGATCGACGTCACGTCGACCTCGGGACCCCCGGCTGACAAATCGCGTGCATCGATAACGCCGCGTATACCTCGCGAGCGCCATCAGCCTCGATTCCGCTCGTCCAAGGATAGATATCCCCGCGTTTCGCGGCCCCGAGTGACAATCGCTGACGCAGTCGCGGCTCTAAGCGAGAGTGCTCCGATTTTGCGAACCCACGCCCGCGCTTTCGCTTAAAATTTACGCCCACGAGAAAAGAGGCGACAAAAATTGGCAAATCAGAGATTGACGTTGAAATTGCGCCACGTTCACGTTCGATGCGGCTATACAAACGCGAGAGCGATCTTTAATGGTGCTGTTTAAATCTAATCCAATTGCATTGGCGCCAATGCGAGGGTTTAACATCAATCTCGTGATCAGGCAAAGTTTCACGAAAAAAGAGACACGGTTATCTAATTAGAAAAATTACTGATGCAAACTTTTATACGAATTATATAAAAATTACGTGGATTCGGCACTAACTTTTTTCTCGAATCCATGCAATGTTGCAATATTTACAATAAAATTGTAATATTTAAACAATAAAATTCATAAGGCTCTGACTTGTAATCGCAATTCGAAGGAATAAAGGATATAGGAGCCAAGACAGGAAGTTAGTGCATAAATAATTTTAATAATTTTAAAACTTATTGCGAAAAATTTACCCCAGCCAGGGTTCGAATCTGGACCTCCCGCTCGCTAGGCGGGCGTCTAAAAAATTGTAATATTTATACTATTAAAGAATAAATTGTAACATTTATATAATATTATATACAAATACTACAACTTATACTATTTAAGCTGTGATATTCGTACTACAAGACTTGGTTTGATTCTTACAGACATTATAGAGCCCTGGCCACTTTCTTCCTTCATGTTCGAACACGCGAAAAAGATACGGAACCGTGTCGCTTAGGAAAGTAAAGTTCAGCGCGAGTCGGAATCGCTTTCCTCTAAGCGCGACGGCGCTTCCTCGCGCGCCATTCAACCCTGGGCATTTGCAACTCTCGTTAATAACAACGCCCCTTCCCCCTCAATCGCAATTACACTCGCTGACTTCGGTCGGTGGAAAACTTCATCGGCCGGCGAGTAACGTCGCGCTAATTGGCGTCCGCTCTTTAACATTCAACGGAGGCGCGAATTTCCATGAAACCGCCGTGTACATTCACGTCGCTTTTCATTTCATTGTACCTCGCTCGACATTGTAATCTCGGTAAAAGCCTTACGAGACTTATGCAAAGAAAGTTATAATCGTGGGATTCGACTTATTGAGCGCACTTTACACACGTCACGGCGGGTGAATGAGACAGCCACGGGTGAATTCAACTATTAATGGGAAACTTCTTTCCCCCACCTTCGCTTAATTTTTAAAACAACGCCAGGCGCTATCATAATTTTTTTTTAAACAGAACTGTCGAATACGAAGACACGGGATTTTTTTTTATTCAAGTGATTTTAGAGAAACGGGAATATCGACGAATCGTGCGTCGGTAGCAAGCGGGCTCTGCTAGATTCTGCTATCACTAGGTGCCAGGGTTGGGAAGTAACTCGTTGTAACGAAGTTGCAGTTACTTTTTTTTGTAACTCTAATTTAACTTCGTTACCTTCTTTCCATCTGTAACTGTAACTTAACTAAGTTATATTTTCTCGATAGCTAGTAACTCATTTAATAGTCACGTTAATAGTTACTTTATATATTTTTTAAACCTCCACAGATTGCATTAGGCCTTGCATCACATTAATGCATGAACACCTTCATCGGCGCTTTGCAATTCAAATTTTATATTTTTATTTTCATTGCAAGAAAGTAACTGCAAAGTAACGATTCGTTACTTTTTAAATAACTGTAACGGTAACGCGTTACTTTTCAGAATCGGTAACTTGTAACTGTAACCAGTTACATTTTTAGCGAAAACACTGTAACTGTAACTAAGTACTTTTATAGAGTAACTTTCCTGGTTAGACAGAGATTAAGCTACTTCTAGCATTTCCACTGTAGTGTAAGATACAGAATTCAACCCCTAATGTCAAAATATCGAAATGCCGCGGAGAAGAATGGCGCACGATGAAAAGATTCGAACGGAGAGTCAGTTCGCCCGTCGATCTTATCGAACGCCCGATTCCGCCCCGCCGACTTCACCCACCGTCGAATTATCGCAAATCGACCGACTTACCGGAAGACGCCGGCGCTCCCTGGGTGTCCGCTCGCTGCTGCCCGTCGCCGCCGCCGACGTAGAGAGATGACGAGAAATTACCGCACCGCGGAAAGACCGCGCCTAGCCGCACGCGAAACGCGGGGGTGAACAATCCGTCACTTCCCCGCCCGAGGTGAATCGGAGCTCGTACTACGGAACTCGGCGCCGGGCACGTCCTGACTGTCGCGAGGATACTACGAGACTGCACGGGGAGAAACGCCGCCGCGTCAATGAAAGCGCGCCGTCCCACCCCGCGCCCCACAACCTGCCGGCGCGCGCACCTTCGCCCACGGGCGACACGCGCGGCGCGTCAAGTTCGCCGAATAACAATAAACGGAAACAAGGGTTTCTTCTTCACCCGCGCCGGTGCGCAAACGTTGCGCGTTTTATTTGAATGTAACTGACCTCGAGGCTCGCGTGGCCGGCGAGTTTCCTTAAGTTCTCGCGACGTGAAAGAATACATTGAGTTTTCAAATTGACGACTCCAAGATCGACCTGAAATCTGCGTGGAAACCCGTGTCTCTCGCGCGTTTTATTAAAAAATGTAACTGTCTCAAGGTTTACGTGGCGCTCGAGTTTGGGCAACAGGGGAAAAAGTAGACAAATAAGTGAAGGACTTTTCAAATTGCAGCTTCTTTAGAATCGACCTGAAATTTCTAGAAAGTGCTATGCCATATCGCGCCCTGAGCGAATTGTACGCGTTATCTTTTAACACTTGCTTTTCTATCGTTTCTCCGCGCCGGCGAATCTTCATTTCGTTCTGCAATTCGCGCGCAGGAACGGACGATGTGCGAATGATTTTCACAAAGTTTCACAACGCACGACACTCACACAACACACCGGAAGCGTCAGTATATTGCACACCTGGCTTAGTAATTGCATAAAGGAGAAATCTCGGTTTTGATTTCATTAAGAAAATCCGCAATCTGATACGGATCCTATCGCGCGAAGAAATTAATTAAAAAAAATTTCCAGCCTCACGTAAAATTACATTATCGAGGCTCTAACACGTTCTCCTTAAGTGTGCATCTTTATTTCGCGACCGATACAACATGGAAAAGCTAACGCTTCTCGCTGACGTAGGAAAAACTTGATTATATAATTCGCGTTACATGATTTTCCATATTGCAGACGAAATAATCACGCGCGAGTTTTTAATATCCTCTCTATTCGTAATGTTATAACTAACAGTAAGCTAATTCGATTTAAAAATACTCGGGATTTTGAAATATAAAGAAAGATTAAATTTAAAATCAAATCAAATAACGAAGATTCACGCGCGATCCTTCGATCTTTCATTCGTTAACGAAATTCGATGCTTTTCTTCAAGATTCTGATGACTTAATGAAAAATAGGTAACCAATGTAGGAAATTAATATTCGACACGACTGGGAAAAGAAGTAAACTTCAATTACTCACTATTTCGAGGTGTCCACATCTGATGACCGATCGTAAACAGCTTCAACCAGTCGCGTGCATCTACGCATTCCACGTGGGCGTATCGTCGTCATCTGTTCCGTAGCTCTCGTATCGTCTGCAAGCAAAAAAAACACACACAATCGATTTATCCCGCTTAAGAAACTTTCGACCGAGAGCGACAGGCAAAAAGCCTCCTCGGTAATTTGCGAGTTCGCGGTTATCTGGTCGCGCTGTTAAGCATTCGTTTCCTTATTCGGTTCCTTATTGCGTCCCCATTGTCTTCGTCATAGTGTGCTCTCTCGCCTACCTAACATACACCTAGGCCCAGGCGCTTCCTAGGTTCATAAAAGAATTTCTCCAACCCTTCCTCCTTTGACCGTATTACGCAAAATCGATGCGTCCTGAATGAACACCGTGACGCAGCTTTCTCATAAACGTCATCACACCCTCGCTATTTTAAACTTCGTTACGTCAAGGAATGTGCAATACTTTTATTAATTATATGGGCTATTTTACCACATTAACATCGATCTATGACGTAGACGATGTAAGGCGACGTAATAAGCGTTCCAAGTTTGTCCCATTCAAGAGAGATTTTTCAATAAAATCCTACGAGATCCCCTCCCTATCCCGTGCAACACAATAGCGCTTTTAATGAAACTCAGCGATGTGGTTTCTGCGTTACACAGAATTCGATATATGAAAAAAGAATCGTCGCTACACTTGTAAGAAAAACAGCACAGCCTCGCCTCCAACTTATGAAAGAATGCAACAGGCTTTCGATACAATAGCGATATGTGATTTTTCCGATTGCATAAATTCTCTTAGTATGAAATAATTATTCTCTATTCTTCAGCCTCACGTTCGTTGTTGTGCCGCTCACCCTATTGCCTTACGCAACCGACCAAGCTGCTTAGTAATATTCCAATGTGACAAACGATAAATAACATCGAACTATCGAAAAGAAAGGTACCGACCTTTTTGGCATCGTCCAACGTTGTGGGAACGTAGTGGGCATTGATCGCTTGCGCCATAGTACAGTAGTCACGATACAAGATGTATTGATCCTTCAACCAACGCCTGATCGCCGAAACTCTCTCCCGAAACCGATCGTCCGGCTTCGACTCCACATCGTTTATGTCTAGAGAAAAGGATATGTTCCAGTTTAAGACACGCGCGAATAAATGAAGAATGTGTACGCGCAGAATATATTTGAGAATGTACTTGGAGCGCATTTGTGCATATAATGCCTTTATTTAAATGCGAAATGAATTTAATGCATTCGTTATACGACTCTGCGCCGCTATCGGTCGAGTCAGTCCTCATTGTTCCGATACAATGCGGATTCCTTCTATTCATTGCTAGAGTCGCAATTGTCGGCGCATTCACCGCGGTACGACTCACCACCTCGGGCGCGTTCATTAAGATGACATAAAGTGAATCGAATAGGAAAAAAAATGTACGAAATGGAATCTCTAATTAAACAGAGGAATTTTTTAACAAAGATAATTGTCGATTTATCGCTGAGAAATGAGATGTGGCAATTCTTCTTATCAAAACCAGAAGACAAATGGTGATAATCGGCATCGTAGTTAGCGATCATAATTTACATGTAAAAATAGATTTGCGAAACATTTCTTTGTTTAAATTTGTAAATTACCAGGCTGCGTAAATTCTGCGATCCTCGGGAATTCCAGAGGTTTGAAATAGCTCCGAGCGGAAACTGATTCTAGTCTCAAGTCCTTCAGCTCGTGTAGATATTTTTGGAGGTCTTCTCGTTCCTGCCGTAGTCGTAGTTCGATAATGTGCTTCCGAAGTCCGCGCGTTTGCTTGCCGTCGAGCGACAAAGCTTTGTCTTCCTTACGACTTCTCGTGCTATCGCGAGCTCCGGCCGTCCTTGAATTCGTTGTCCTCGCGCTTTTCTTCTTCCTCTTGGTGTTGCGTTGTCCGCGACAATTATGATCGGACTGAAAGCGTTATTAGAGATGACGAAGTAGCGGCTTTTCTTGCCAAAATATACATTATGTAATCATTGCGTAATGATTTCGGCGTTGCAAATGTCGATTTAAACGCCTGGGCCTTTGACGAGTTATTTATACACTCTTAAACTGGCATTCAATCGCGAAATGTATAATCTCGAAAGAAAAATTGGCAAAACGTGGAATAGTCGGAGAGTAATTTCAGGAAAATTTTCCGCTTCAAGAAATGTAATATTATTTTACAAAAAGAAACAAGATTTGGTATAAAAGACGGAGGCCACTGCGATATCTTAGCTCGATAAAACTTATGCAACGCTAATACCACTCTCCAAAAACTTTCCTTTTCTTCTCTCACCTTCACTCTCCTCGTCTTCGGCGCGTTTTGACTTGCAGACACGGTTTTGCCGCCGGAGGAGCTTTCAGATGCTTTCGTTGCAACTGTTGAGCTCTTGGCCAGCGCGTCTTTGTGCGACTTTCTCACCACACGTTCGGCGTCCTGTGAAATTCCTTGGTTCAAGCTTTCCTCGGAGACGCGTTCCGTGCGCTTCTCGGTCTCCTCTAACGACGAATTAGATCTTGTCTCCTTTATCCCGTCCTCGTCGCTCGCCACCGGCAATCCGGTGACATCTATCACCACCGCGCGTTCCTTCGCTCTGTTGGACGATTCCCCGCGCTCTTTCCGGCCGCTTACTTGCCGGACAGTAGTCATCCCCGGGGAGTTTTTCCTCTCATCTGTCTTCATCACGTCGCCGGTCGACGAGTCCGAGGAATCCGACGTGTTCTTATTGGAACTTGCGACTGAAAGATTCGTCAGGCCGATCGCATTATCGGTGTCACATCATTGTCACGGCGATAGAATTTCTTGATTAGTGCAACTCAGGGCAAAAAAGCTTTCAGTGAAAATTTAAGATTGTCCGCCATAAAAGGAAAACTGCGCCGCGGCGATCGCGCGACGTGTTGTTCTGAAATCTAATTGCGATTCATTAACAAGAAAGAATACTTTAATTCTATGAACGTTTTACTAATCCGATAAGGCGAAAATATGCTCAATTAAAAATTGTAAAACTTAACAAACAATAAATTACAAAGCTACTGACTGCTAATATTCTCACTTAATGTCTCAGAATTGGGAACCCCCGCGTTTTCAATCGAATGCTGCAATTTACTCTTTCCGCTCGATTTGCTGACGAAATTCTATCTCGGAATAAATTTCCTAATACCCCGACACCCCATTGGAGCGACTCCAATTCTGACACCGCCATTTATTTATAACGTATTATTTTACCGCTTGAAACGTTCTCGTCGCTTCGCGACGCCTTGCGACGCTGATAACGTTCTCCCCGGTTCTCCGAGCGCGCACCGGAAGATCGTGGCAATTTTACTGAGCGCACGGCGACGCTATCTGGACTCGCGACGACGCTCTCCAAGTCGCTGACGTAATCCGAGGATCCCGGCTCGACCTCGGTTGCACTCGGTTTCGGCGCGATGATTAACTCGTCCCTGCGGCCGTGCAAAGTCATATCCACATTGATAAAGAATATCGACGCTTCGCCGCTTTTGCTTGTGCAGTAATAAATCACTCGATAACAATCGCGTGGGCATACTGGTTATACTGTGGTATAACCAGTAGTTGCACTCTCCGCCGGCACCTTTGATCTGGGGCGGTTTCAATTTTCCGCCATGTTTTTATTCGCGCCAACGGTGTATCAACGGCTAAAAGTGCCTGGGCCCTTTTCAGGATCGTATCCAGGAAAGGCGCATACGAAATAACTGATGTAGATTGTAGATTGCGGTCAAGCTGCCGCTATAAATGCTTCAAAGCGTTTCTCCTCTCTTTCTATCTTTACTGAAAGAAAAGAGAAGAATACTTCGTAACATTCGAAGCGACAGCTTGAACGCAGCCCTAATAACATATGTTATCATAGCACAGGGTTTTAATCTGAATAATTTTGATTTTCCCGCGAAAGCAGCCCAGTGCAGTTCTCCGTCCGTGTCCCCGCTAGCTCCCTTTCTACGCGGATCGCGTTTCATTGGCCACGTTCGATTTCTTTTATTAAAGAAAATATTAAAATTTTTTTAAATTAAAGCACCACTGCTATCCTATACGTGGAGGAAAATCCCCCATTATGCGATAGACTTCTAATATGAGACAGCAGATTTTCAACGTCCAAATTCAAACCACAAATCTTTTTTCGCAACGATTACGCGATTTAACGACGAATCACTAAACAGATTTCACCGCAAGGGCAATAAATTCATTACGGAATCAACGGACGGTGTCTCGTAATAGGGGACTTTCCTCTACAATGTGTCTCTAGAATCAATTACACTTGCTAGATCAGTTATATTTACATCCTAATTTCTGTACAGAAATAAAATGAAGTTGTTGAAACGGTATTGGGCAACTGTTCTTCTTTTTCCTGTCTTTATTGTTACAGTTAAAGTAACGTTCACTGATGCACATAGTCATAATAAAAAACAAGTGTATATATGTTTTGAGAAAGTTATGCACATAATTGCCAAATAATAACTACCTGTGCTTCTCAGAACTGTCCCGAGAAGATCTGTATTCCGCCGTGTCAATTTTCTTCGCGCTAAATCTCGCTTTATCGGCCGCTTCCCTCCTTCCATTAATCATTCCCCCGCGCCGCGACCGTACGGTCGAGCTCGAAATGTCCTCGAAAGTGTCGTTTGCATATCCGTTTCCAGGCGCCAGACCTTTCCAACTGTCGAGAGTCACCACAGAGGCGTCTACGTCCGTCGGATGTTTCGAGCCCCCGTTAACCGCGTCTTCAATTTTAGCCACGGAGCTTTCTTCGGCGCGGGAAAGTTCCGAAATAATTTCACTGCCGTTCTCCAGCGTGCCGATCGACTCCTCGACGACGCTGTCGTCACGCAGAGATTCCGACTCGATCGTATCGTCGCGAACTTTAGGGCCCACCGCTCGCGGCGTTTTCGCGACCACTTTGTCCATCGAGCGCTTTTTCGGGTCGTGGCGCGCCCTGAAAACTCTCTCGCTCGACCCACCGGACATTCTCAGCCGTTTGATCGACGAATTATCGGACGGCGCTTTTCCCCTCGAGATTTCGGATGATTTGACGGATTCCCTTCCTCCCTCGGACCTCGCGGACATCCGCGTTCTCTCCTCGCGTCCGGAGGATCTGTCGCCGGCCGTGGAAGAGTTTCGCCGCGACGTTTTCGAGCGCGAGTGCGACTTCGACGGAGTCACCGTGTCATCGGGCACGCTTTCGATCAAACTGCTCTCCCGAATCGTCATTGAATTGTCCGAGATAAGACTTTCTTGCTTTCCTGCGGAACGCGGCGATTTATCATCTAGCTGCACCGCGGCGGCGTCTTCGGCAGGTCTAAACGCGCTTGCCTCGTCCGGCGTCGATCTGTCGCTCTTCGACGAAAGTTTCGTTTCCTCCGCGTCACCCGCGTGTCCTTCGTATCGAGCGTCCGGCATTTTTATGTCGAGCTTGGGCCTCGCGGCTCCCCTCGGCGACTCCCCCGATTTCGCCGACGGATTCTCCGAAGAAACCAGCGAGACGCTGCTTATCGAGCTGTCCGCGTCCTAGAATTACAAAGGGTTGTTAGCGTAGCGACTCTTTCAGGGAAAACCTTAACCATAATCCAAATATCTTTCTGAAATATCAAGGCATCAATTCTATATGTCAAATACAGTGAAAATGAAGAGAAAGACATGAAGAGGGCAGTTAGAAAGACACAAACCACCCCTAGCACAGTGCATTGGCTAAACATTGGTCCAATGTTCGTTAAATTAGCAATGTCCCTTTTACCTCTTTCCACTTCTGCTCTTTGCGTTTGATCTTGTATTTTTCTTCTATTTCCTTCAGGCGCGCCAGTGCCGCGTTCGCTTTCGAGGAGAGCATTTTTCCTCCCTCTTTTCAAGTCCTTTGTGTGCTCGCTAAATTTATCGGAAAATCTGGCTAGCAGACTCTCTCCGCTCTTGGCTCGATGCGCAACACTTGTAAATTTCAATTATTCACGTGGCAATGAGAAACGAGAAGCTTGATTTTGAAGTGAGCCACGAAAAGTTGTTGTATTCGTTCTCGCCATGACAAGTTTGCTTTCTCGTTGCCGAGGAAACGGCCGGCATGTATCACGCTGTTCGCGCTTGACAATCGGTGGTCACAGAGGGGCGGAAATGCCTGCCCTAGTAGCACAGTGCATTGGCCCAATGTTGGTTATATTAGAAATGCATTGGCCAATATTGTCCAACGTAAAGCAGATATTGGCCATGGAATAAATGTAGATATTGCACAATAACAATTATATAATATTAGATTTATATTGGAAGTGCGTTGATCGATTTAACAATGTAATAAGAACATTGACCTGAAATTGATACAATATTAGACTAATATTGCTAAATAGATGTATTGGCTGAATAAGAGATGGGCATCCATCTTACAATATTGGATCAATATTGCGAATACTAGATTTACTAAATCATTACTTACCAATATTGGGAGTCTAGATGATTTCCCAATATTACGCCAATACATTGTGCCACTAGGGCGGGCGCATCTATTGATCGTAGCATACATTAGAGGAACGTCCAGGCATTCCTTGCCCATCTGTCGCCATTGAGTCATTAGGTCCACTTTATCTTGTTTCCGAAGTCCGGGGGAAATTCTGATAACGCGATCGCCTGGTTACATTTAACTGAAATATTTATTAGCTACATGGCATGCGCGCTTTCAACATTCTGTTCTTTTATCGGTCAAAAATATGAAAAGCATTTCAAGCTATACTTCATTGTGACCATCTCGACAATTACGCGGAGCTGTAACGAAAGGTGGAGTTCCGTTTGGGACGTTGAGCGGTTCGCACGTCTTCTGGCTGAAGAAAAAAAAAATTTTTGATACTCGCGGATTGCATCATCCCGCGCGAGGTCCGGTAGTTGGGCCTCTGCATTGTGTGATATCAAAAACGTGATTACACGATAAGATATTGATCAAGACTATTAGTTCGTCGTGGCTGTATCGGCTCAGTGAGTGAGCCGGGAGCCAATAAACTAGATTCTAGAAGAAGCATGTAACGAGAGGCTAGCGCGATGCGTTTCACAAATGGGAACTGCCAGGATAATTAAATGGGTTTCTGCACCAACCAGGCTCTTCCCTACATACCTCGTTACACACGTAAGTAAATAGCCGACGAGAATTGAAGAAAGGAAAAGGATCGTCGCGAGGGAATTTACCTCTTCGAGAAATCCCTTCGAAGGCGCGTGTCCCGCGCGGCCAATCAGCGCGGCTTCGTGTTTCGGCGCGCTCTGCCTTACCGACGGCAGATAAGCGCGCTGTCCTACCGACGCGGCGACGACGCGAATAAGCTTCGCGCGACGCGGCGCGGCGGGGCGAACGGCGCCGACGATTGCCACGGCGCGGCGCGCGGCGCGCCGCGCTGGTTAAGCGTGGTCGGCGCTGATTGGCCGGCGCGGCTCCGCCAATCGGCGCCCTCCATCTGTCTACCTCGACGGCCGCTAAACTCGCCAACCACGTCGGCGGAGCGGGCATTATCGGCCAGTTGGTTGCGGTGGCAGGGTGCCTTCTCGTCGTCGTCATCGTCGCCGTCGGTCTCCTCGGACTCACGTCGTTCTATCGGCGTTGAAAAAATGCGGTTCCCCTGCGCGCTCATCGCACTCCTGACGCTCTCCGCCGCTACGGCGGAGGTGTATCTGGACGAGAAGTTCAACGATGGTGAGTAGGACGGCTATTAATGTCTGCAATCCGGAGGGGACCCGGCTCGGGCCGCGAGGCGGCCGTTCCGCGCGTTCGGCGGCTTCTCCGCCGCGGAGACCGTCGCGGGATCGCGGACTCCGGTCCGCGGCGAACCACACCCTCGCCCTGTTGTCCGGCCGGCGTGGCGCGCCGTCTCCCGCGGGCACTTCCGACCGGGAGATGATAACGCCGGCCGGGGAGACCAAGGGTACGTCAGGGGGGACGACGTGGACGCGGCACGGCGGCGCCTCTCCTTGGTAACCGCACGCCCTGCTGCGCTCCGGTGGCCCGTTCCGTCCCGCCGGTCGGCCGCCGCTCGCTCGCTCGCTCGTCCACGTATCTCGCCGCGCGAGCGGGCTCTTCAACGACGGTTAACGCGCGCTCAGAAATCGCTTAGGACCGCATCGTGACACATCGTGTTTCCGCATCTCGAGCCACATCGGCCATATGTGCCTCCGGCACGCCGGGGGGAGAGAGAGAGGGAGAGAGACGGAAACAGGACGGGCGGACAGGCCGAGAGGAGCGCCGAGAGAGAGACCGTGGCGTCTCCTCCTCGCGTCTCTCGTGGCACGTCGCCGTGGCCGCGCGGGCACCTCTCGTCCGTCGCCGACATGACGCCGCCGCACAGATCGATCCGTCGATCCGCGCGCTCGACTTCGGCGGAGCAGGAGCGGCGGCGGATCGCAGCTCCGCTCCGCTCCGCTCCGTTTCGGAGACCGATGCTCCGAGGCGAGATCGAGCTCCGCGAGTTCACTCGCGTCACCGTACGTCTCTTTCTATTCTTCTGTCTCCATCCTCCATTCCGTCCTCTCTTTCTCCCTCCCCTCCCTCCCTCTCTTTCTTCTATCTCTGTCTCGCTCGTGCGAGAGCCTACACGCCGGGGCTTCCTCTCTCTCTCGCTTCGAGTACAGAAAGCACCAGCGAACCTTCCACCGGCGTTATCCCGTTAAATTCAAGATCCTGCGAGCAGGCGAGAGAGAGAGAGAGTCCCTTCGTGAAAGGATGACGGATCTCTGGCTCTCCTTCGCGATTCTTTTCCGTATCGAGTGGACGGGTCGCGGACGAAGGGAAGGAAAGAATCGCGGAGGGGACGGGTCTCTTATGTTTACCGGTGACAATGGAAGCGCGAATTAGCTTCGTTTTCTCTCCCCCGACTCTCCCGCACATGTCGCGGAAATTAAATGCGCCGGCGGAGGGACGGTGTTATCCTTTCGGCCTCTCGCGACGGCCGGTACAGTTATATCGTCGCCTTTTTAATTTTTAACCGGTTCTCGCCTGCCCCCCACCTTCTCGTCCTCCCCGCTCGGGGACACGATAGGGACAAACGTGACTGTGAACACGTTGTCGCTCCGTATTAATTGTTTCCCCGACAAAATAAGACTGGAAATGCACGCGATTTGCCGTTCGCCTCGCTGGAAGTTGGAAAATATTGCCTGCAAATACGTTAACAAACAATTTCCTTCATTGTTAGGTGCTCAGATCTAAGATTGCAAGTAAACCTATCAATGAAACGTGTATTACATGCGTTAAGATAAGAAAATATTGAAATCAAATACGTATCTTGTTAAACAAATTGGATATACTTTAGTTAGTAAAATACAAAAGCTGCTGTACGTACACCGATTCACGAAGGAATTGTCACGTTTCAGATTCATGGGAAAAGAATTGGGTCTATTCGGAACATCCGGGCAAAGAATTCGGAAAGTTCGTTTCGAGCTACGGAAAGTTCTGGAACGATCAAGAGAACGATAAAGGTACTCGAGAGAAACATAGATAATCCATTACGAAATATTGAGTTCGCTTATGTAACATGCTTGCCTTGTAACATTTTGCCCAGGTATCCAGACGTCGCAGGACGCGAGGTTTTACGCTCTCAGTAGGAAATTTACTCCGTTTAGCAATAAGGACAAGACCCTCATTATTCAGTTTACTGTGAAGCACGAACAGAACATCGACTGCGGAGGCGGATATGTTAAGGTGTTCGACTGTTCCCTCGAGCAGAAGGACATGCATGGCGAAAGTCCTTATCAGATAATGTTTGGTATGTTCCCTTATCAGAGCTTGGGTCGCCGTTACGAATAATCGAATAATCGGATGCCGAGCCTAAGAGTCACTTGTCGTACCAGTGTACGATGAGTGCTATAGGAACTCGGAGAAAAATGCTCTTTCATTATGCCCTGTGATATACTGATTACATGTATCGCAGGTACCAGAAAAGATACATTCGTTACGGGAGTTAATTAGCTTAGATAAAGCTCGAGTTATCTCGCGTAACGGCAACTTTACTTAATTCAGAGATTATTCCGTGCGACGTGCATAAAAATTTTTTAAAAAAGTCAAACGTGCATAGCCTCTTTCTATAATTAGTTATCGACTGATATATCTTTCTATATAGGGCCAGATATTTGTGGGCCTGGGACTAAGAAGGTCCATGTTATCTTCAGTTACAAAGGGAAGAATCTTCTAATCAACAAGGATATTCGTTGCAAAGACGACATTTACACGCATTTGTACACTCTGATCGTCAAACCCGATAACACCTACCAGGTAAATATGAATCACGTTAATGTAAAATTCCCATCGTTGTAAGCGTTATCGAGCCTAGAGTCACACATTCTCACTGATTACCGTGGAGGATAGGTGCTACAGGACCTCGTAGAACAAAGATTATCTTGTTTGCTAACTGTGTAGAGGTGACACCGTTCGCTATACACTTGCGGCAAAGGTCAACACGCCAATAATATCACTACGCTAAACGGAAGTTTATCCTGTTGGACGATTCTTCAACGAAAATCATTTTTCAGGTGCTTATCGACAACGAGGAGGTTGAATCCGGCGAGTTGGAGGCAGATTGGGGCTTCCTGCCTCCGAAGAAGATCAAGGATCCATCTCAGAGCAAGCCTGCCGATTGGGACGACAAGCCTAGCATTGATGATCCCAATGACAAGAAACCAGAGGATTGGGAAAAGCCCGAGCACATTCCCGACCCCGAGGCCGTTAAACCCGAGGATTGGGATGACGAGATGGACGGCGAATGGGAAGCGCCCATGATCGATAATCCCGATTACAAGGTTCGCGCACTGAGCATTCGGAGATTTGTCAGGCATTCTCCTTGTCTTTCGTTATTCTTAAAGTTGTGTAACTCCTCAGGGCGAATGGAAACCAAAACAAATTGAGAATCCCAACTACAAGGGACCGTGGATCCATCCCGAGATCGATAACCCCGAGTACACGGCCGATCCCGAGCTGTACAAGCGTGACGAAATCTGCGCTATCGGTTTTGACCTGTGGCAGGTTAAGTCCGGTACCATTTTCGATAACGTTCTGATCACCGACGATCCGGAGATCGCGCGCAAATTTGGAGAAGATGTGTGGAAACCCACTTTTGTAAGCACATTGCAGCATTGTTTCTCTCGTCATTAATTTGTTACCAATGTGTGACTCGCGATCAACCTGTCATAGATCTCTAATTTAAGATGAGAAATTAATTGAAAAATATTCTGTGACGCGTAGGAAGGTGAGAAGAAGATGAAGGAATCGCAGGACGAGGAAGAGAGGAAGCGAAGAGATTTGGAAGCCAAGGAAAACGAAGATAATAAAGATGATGAGGACGACGAAGAGGCGGACGAAGAGGAGCAGACTCAACCAGACGTAAGTGTCGAGTCCTTGCACATCTTTAATAAGATTTTATAATTAAGCCTGCGCATGATGTTTATATACCTTTTCTGAGATCCGCTGACGAGAACAAATGGAATTCCTCGTTTCTGAGTGTAAACATTCCAATTGTCTTTTTCGATTTTAGTAGAAATCGGCGATACTAACGGCCTCGTTTCTCCTTATTTTGCAGGATCATGATGAATTGTAAATAAGTGTGTCGCGTGTGGACACAAACACACAGACTGTATTCCAGGAGCTACGTGGTCGCGACACGCACTGTAAATCCTCCCACAGGCACAAAATTGTAATCTAAAGACACACAATAGCAAGAGTGCAGGATAATACCCTCGTCGATTACGTCGCCCGCCGCATTGTCCACGAGAGACCGTCACATTGAATTCCGTTTTAATCTTCTGAAGCAAGTCTCACCCGGTTTTTTCAACTCCTGGTGGTGTTTTTGGCCTTGGCATCGCAGCGCCTAAAACATTCTCAGCCCTAGAAACTTTCTATTCGAGTGAGTCTATTATCCTGAGATATTACACGCTTAGGTCAAGTGATTGGTATTTCTGCCAAGTGTGTGCTGGAATACGGAAAAACAAATATATTAGAAAATGGAGAAGGAGAAAAGGGAAAAGTGTAGAGAAGAAAGAAACAAGAAGAGAGTCGTCTAAGCCCGTGTCCACCATCGGCGCAGCTCCACAAAAGACTAAGTTGTTCCGTTTTTGTTTGTCAAGTGTTTTTATATACATTAAAAAGTAATTGAGATGTAATTTAAATAACACGATGCTATTATATATAATATATACATAATTTCAATTTCCGTACAATGTACGCGCGTAATTCAGAGAAAAGAGAAAAACTCGCTCCAATGATAAAAAAAGGAAAAAACGTAAGAATGATAGATGTGTGCAAATGTGACCGAGTGATAATAATTGGTATGATTATGTATCAGAGGCAGTCCAATAATCGTGTAATAAAATAAATAAGACTTTTATAGATGTGCTCAGGCGTTTATTTTCGCGGGGCCTCAAGCGCTCACCTCGATCGAACGCGAAACCCAATCCTGTTGCTGATCCATTTTCATCATTTGTAGCGAATCAATGTGTATGAATCGATTGTGCAAATAGCTTCCAATTACCATTGTATATGTATATAGATGCATATACACGCTATTTTATTATATCATGTTCGAATAATGGTTAATCTTGTAACTCCATTTTTATATCGGAAAATAAACTGACGTCACTTCTCCGAGACGACCATCTCATGGCCTACCAATTACTTGTTTCATTTTTGGTATAGCGTGACTTAATAGACTAAGTTTATCTCGTGGACTGCCACGAGCTAACAGATCTGCGACGATATAATAGATTTGTCACTTGCGTTGACACTCACATTCGCTCACGGAGCGAATAAAAATCAAGATTTATAAATAACAAAAAAAGATGAAGTATGGTCGACGTCGAAAAGGTCGAGACACTGCTTTGTAACTTAATTTTTCGGATACGGGCGACATCCAACAGAATTTGTTTCGTCGGAATAGCTAGAAAACATCGTTTTCGACGTCGACCACACATGCGAATACTTATATTTTGCGTGATTTTTATCTACCTATCTAAAACTTCAGTCTCCTTCGTCCTTGTGAGGAAGTCGCCACTAATTAGCGTGAAACGTGTTCTTCTCGGCGTTTTCCATACATAAATAATTTTATAAAAGAAAGGAAATTCTATACGCATTGCGTCGAAAGCCAGTCGAGACCTTGCAACGTACCGCTGGCGTTGCTAACTAATGACGAGCCCTGAATGTGCCATATTCTCGCACAACAAAGCTTATGCAAGCCGAATATCTCGACCAGCTCCTCCACACTCGCACAGCCAGGAACGTCCTGTACAATTAAATTACAATTTCACGATCTCGCGCAGCATGAAAAATATATTACACCTAAATGAACGAGAGAATGTCTTATAAATGGGAGAACGTTGCATTTACCTGTTTATTAGCGTAGATTAAAAGTAGAGCGTCCTTCAGTTCTCGTTCATAAAGTATCTTTGACAATTCTTTTCGCGCCTCTTCAAAGCGAGACCTGTCGCTAGCGTCAACCACGAAAATAATGGCTTGCGTGTTGTGGTAGTAATGCTTCCACAGTGGCCTGAACTTCTGATGGCCGCTGACGTCCCAGAGAGTGAATACGAGATTCATGTATTCCAAGCTTTCGACGTTGAAACCGATAGTGGGAATCGGTGGGCTTGGCAGCGTGACACCTCGCATGGCGGATAAAATGCTCGTTTTTCCCGCACCGTCTAGTCCCAGAATCACTACGCGCATATCGATCTTCGTTCCAATGTGTATCCTGTTATCCTATCGCAAAATAAATTTAACATTACCGATTATCTCTGTTGAAGAAAAACTAAAAAGTACTTGAAATACTTGTAAAATGAAGATTAATATATAAATTTATACTACAATTATTATTTACAGTAATTTCGGAACAAAACTATTTAAAATAACGTGGTTTATCTCTCACGCGATTACTAATCGGGATTATTTACGAACCCTGCTAAATATAATGGGAATGGAGGACTCGGGACTGAGAAAGTCTGGTCCTAATTGCGCATAATGTTGCTGTTGTTGCTCCAATGTCGCCAGCACTTCCTTGACTTTTTCCGAGCTGCTCAGCAACTTCCAGTCCTCGGAATCAAGAATACTTTCGCACTGGATACACACACCGGCCACTTGCGACCTCGTGGTCGTAAGATCCTTCTGCTGTTGCCTCAGCGCGCAAAGTCTGCCGCGAGTCTCCGTCTCGATATACGCCATCGCGGTTTTCTCCTGCTCGGCCAGGACAGCGCGTAATTCCTCAAAATGATACCGTACCCTCCTCCTCGCATCCTCGATCGCCCAACCGTCCAACTCCTCGATTACTATTTCTGAAAATACAAGGATACAAATTGCAAGCCGTTTAAAAGTACTTTGGAGAATTTTGAAACAATGTTCCTTCAAAAATTGTTTCATATATTATCTCTTCCAAATCGCTAGATGGAATTTTGGAGGGACAAATACCTATCTTATGCGCGGTATCTCTCATGCTCTCCATAAACTGCGTCATCTTCTGCAGTGCCGCGATAATGGACTTCCTGATGTTCTCGGCTTCTTCCTCGACCAACGCTGGCTGCAATTTAAAACACAGGTAAGATCTGGGCAGAAACATACTGACTACGGACGGCGTTACCTTGTGTGTACTGTGTTTGCCGTATTCCTTGCACAAGTAGCACATCAACGAGTTGTGGCAGCCCTCCTGGGTACACGTGAACTCGGCCACGTGCGCCGTGTGTATCGGACAGCGGGGCTTCTCGCGCGGCTTCTCCGACAGCGGCACGCGCCTGTGCTTGCCCAGCGTCTTGGACGAGTGCGTGGCGGTGTCGCAGGTCTCGCATAGATGCGTGGCGCAGACGGTGCAGTAGAGGACCGCGGTGTGCGCCTCATCCTCGTCGCAGGACAGATTCGACTGGAGCCTCTCGCGCTCCAGCACCAGCGTCTTCTGGCTGCTGGACTGCTCCAGTCGCTCGAGCAGCTCGATGAGCGCAAAGTTCTTCTTCAGGCTGTAGACGCTGTTCTCGTGAACGGCGGTGGGCTGTCGGTCGAAGGGGCACAGCAGGAACTGCTGCTCCGACATGCAAGTCCTCAACCGCAACAGGCACGAGTGGCACACCGTATGCCCGCAGTGCAACAAACGTGGCACCTTCACGCCGTCCACCGTGAAAACCTCCTCGCAGACGCGGCATTCCAGCACCTGCCGATATTCGTACACCACCTCTTGTAATCTCGAATGCTTGCTCGAACAAAATATCCGATCAAATGCATTTAACTAAGTTCGACCAACTGTTTATTGATGTACCTAGTTACCCAAGTTTTGGAGTTCAGTTCGACTCCGGGTGACCGCGAATAAATTCCGATTAACTCGATTAGCTCACTCGGTAGAAACGCGGTAAAACTTGTAACGATGTAATTGATCACTTCTGATCTTGCGACTAATAAAGAAAAGTTGGACGATTCCATGCCAACGAAATAATCGGGTAGGTTAATCGGACTGGTCGAAGTCACCCCAGTCGCATGCCAAATCTACGAACGTCTCTCACGTTTGATTTCGGCGCCGTTTTCAGCGAATGCTTGACGCATTTACTCGGTCGATCCGCGTCCTCGTCCATCGCGGCGAGAATCCGTCGTCTCGTCAAGATTCGACCGCGAACGGAGCGCGGGGCCGATCAAGGTTAGCTTCGAACGGCGAGGGGCGAGACTCGCTCGGGCGCGCTGGTTTAAATCGCGGTTTAAATGGTCAAGCCAGGACGAGACCGCGGAATGACGCAGCGCGGTGCCGTGTGCGTGCGCGCGACATCGACGCTGCGCGCTATCCGACTATTTATTCGCGGATATCCTGCCGCCCCGCCGCCTCGTTTCTCTCGCGACCGCGATTCAACTCGCTGCGGTCTCCTTCGATTCCTCGTCCCGATTGGTCGGCCCGCATCTTTCGGCGTCTTTCGGCGAGGCGGACTCCAGTTTGGCGGCCGACGTCCTCTCCCTTTTTCACATCCTTCTCGAATTCGCGTGTCAGCAGTGTCAGCACTCGCGAAGACTGGGTCTACATAGGATGTAGTAAGTCGTGTCGGAAGAAATTGACCAATCACAGTTCATTATTCTCCTTACGGTCGAAGAATAATGAACTGTGATTGGTCAATTTCTTCCGACACGACTTACTACATCCTATGTAGACCCAGCCGAACGGAAAAGGGACAACCACTGCGGCACGGCCGATCTGCGCCGATTGGATTATACCGTTGGATCTGGCGTGACGCTCGTCTCTCAGTGCGGATCTAAAAGAATTTTTAGATTACTCCCGACGCTCCGATTACTCTTGGCCCACGCGACACATTCGCACATCTCGATTGGTCAGTTCAGTCAGACACATAAGAATTAACCAATCATAGTCGACTATTCTTACGACTACGACTTTACGACTTCTATGTAGACGTAAAGCCTCCGCTACCATGGACGTAAAGCCTTGTGTCCACGATCCAAGAGCTGTGTCCAAGTTCTAGTTCCGAGAAATGCGTAGCCAATCACCTTGCAGCTTTTATGGAATAGCTGCAGGTTGATTGGCTACACATTTCTCAAAACTAGAACTTGGACCAAGTTCTTGGATCGTGGACACAAGGCTTAAGAATATATTCTTACGTCCATGTCCGCTACAATGGCCGCGTTCAGCAGACACAACTGTTGAGTGAGCGCTCAGTATGATTGGTTAATACTTTTAGATCCAGCCAATCATATTAAGGATCTAAAAGTGTTAACCAATCATACTGAGCGCTCACTCAACAGTTGTGTCTGCTGAACGCGGCCATTGTAGCGGAGGCTTTACTCAACAGTTGTGCCTACTGAACGTGGCTAATGCGAAAGAAAAATCTTTCTCGTTACACAAGTTTTATAGAAGAAAACTCGTACGAGGGACGCACTGAAATAGACCAAAGTTCGTCTACCGTCAAATTGTTTATTTAAATTATGTCTTAAATTACAATTGTAGAAATCTATCGACGCTTAAGAGAATACGCTGCAGCTTTGTCATAATATAACATCTTTCGCAGTATACGCCGCAAATATCTAAACGACAATACAGCTATTATTATAAAAACTGAAAGGTATGAAGAGAGAGAGAGGGGAAAAAGATAAAGGAAGAAAAGTAATATCTTCAAATCAGATTGGCATTGTCGCAAATCGTACGTTTCTCGTCGTGAACGTAAAATTCGCGATGCGTTACCCTGAAAGAACCGCCTCGGCGCGTAATAATTCATAAAAATCATTCTCCAGCCAACAGTATAGAAATTACGCTAGCCGACATGAAAAAAAAATCAATTGATTACGTATCCTTCGATACGCTCCGGAGTACATCTCACGATTTTCTCGTATCAAACGGGACGCGTCCCGAGTCCGAGTTTTCTTTTTCGTTGTGTTGAGTAGAAAGGCAAGAAGTCTAATACTGATGGGAAAAAAATTCATCCAGAAATCACATCCGTAGAGTTTCTTTCTCCGGTAATCCTGAGAATCCCCAAAAGACCGATCCTCGTGTTTAATTTAATAAGCTTAATTAATTACACCACGGCAAATGTCGGCTTTTCTGTTATACGCGAACTTTCCTTTCGTTCGAAGGTGCGTTCGCAGCGGGAAGCGCGCTTAAAATTAATTGGTTCCACTGCTGTCGCATTCGATCACAAACGAATCACTTTGTATATACAAAACGAGTACAATTATTCTATCTAGAAAATTTGGCTATAAGACTAGATGTTTCCCTTTAGCGTGTCTTAATCAATTACGCGGAACGTTCATCGAACGACGTAAATGCGACGTGGGGGGAAAAGGGGATACATTTAAACGCCGCACAGACTTTTGGATTTGCGCAATATGAATATTAAGTATCAAAGATTCTTTCGCCACTTCTATCGGAATGCTCTGGGATACCGTGCAATGTAGAACACGGAAAACATTCCATCGCGATACTTAAATCGTATTAAATATCTAGCCTTGCCAAGTAGCGAGTACACAATAGTACAACTCCACTTTACTATTAATAACATTTAAAAAAGTGACAAAGATTTTCAAAACTTAATCAGCAAAAACTCTCTCGGCAAAAATTTATAGAGAAAAACTTCTCAAGTATAAAACGTAAAAATCGAGACGATAAATGAGGAATTATCTAAATGTGCCCCCTTTCCTTCTACTGCGCGAGTAAAGCAGCAGAATTGTCCACACAGTTTGGAAGGTTTTCAAACACGTGGAAACAGTATTCTTCTTCTCTCCTCGCAATAATGTGGCGATATGTACGAACGTCTCTATGAGCTCCTATGATTGCTGTCGCATAAGCACGATCGCGTTTCCTACGCCGAGATGGGAAGCTCGTTCTTTCGTGCTCGTTACCCGCGCTCTCTTCAAACATGGATAAAAAATGGACGGGATAAAGCACAGGCGAAAACGCTGATTTCGTGAGGAAGGAAAAACGTACACGATGTACAAACGTAGTCGCACGTGTTCGTCGGGACACAAGATACTAATTTATCTTTAATAATCGATTACCAATTTACCGGAAGAGAAAACGGAAGGTAACGTAAGACCAAGTTATCTCGTGTCCGAGCGAACAACCTATTTCGCTATGGCACGACGATGGTGCGATATAACGGAGAGCTTCATCTCTTTCGTCCCTTCGTACAAATTGTCGCGGAAAAGAAATATACATTTTGGCAGTTTAACTTCTTCAGCGCACAATGCACGCATTGTCACGATTAATTGGTAAACACTTTCCTACGCTGATACCGCGATTGGCAGAATTTCCTATTGCAAATTACCAGTGTATCTCGGGAGGAACGTGCAATATAGCGAATAAAGTAATTCCTCTGAACGCATGTCTCTCGTCCCGGTGTGGAGAATCTAAATTGTTTAAAACTAGACACAACAGGACAGTTTTACTATTATTATCATTGGTACCGGCCTTTCCTCCCGAGACACGACGTACATTCGCGCAACGCGTGGGAAATAAACGTCTCTATACAAGCGTGCGATTATCTAACACAAATTGATCTTCTTCGTGATTCTTTTGCGGCACATATGACAGGTTTTCAGCGGTGCAGCGCAGTGCTCGCACGCGCGATGTCCACAAAGAAAGGCAACATTACGACGACGCTCCATGCAGATGCTGCACGTATTCGCTTTCTCGAGATCCGCGACTCTGGTCTCCAAGTAACATAGTCGTTCCTTGTCCTTTTCCTTCTCCCTGTCGACGATCTCCTCCTTCCGTTTGCCCTCCAACGAGTCCTTCGATCTGTCCTCCGGATTGGCTATGGAACCCTCACCTGTCGCCAGCTGACCGTCTGGAAAAATACACGAAGATGATGTAAAGTATTCGTACGGTATCCAATTTATAGCTATAATTTGTTGTACACAATATTCCGCTGGTACAACAAACGCTTAGATTCTTTGATCAATTTAGATCGCTTGTGAAAGATAAGTAAAACCGCGCACCTTGAAGCGCTTGCGTTTTAACGACGGTATGGCCGCGACGTGCACAACCAACGAGCGTAACGCTACTGCTAGGGTCAATTCGGTTCTCCTGCTTCGCGTCTGCTATAATCCCCGAGGAATTCCGACACTCCGCTGCGTCGCCAGAACCGGCTACATTCTTCTTCGCGCCACGCAATCCTTCCGACTGCGATATGTTGTCTATCCGATACGTAGGTGGCTCAACGTAACTGGTTGATGGATTGTTCTCTATCCTGCCAGATCAATATTTTACATGTTTATTGATGAACTGTAAATCATCAAAACCAATTGAGTGATTCTGAAAGCGTTTGCAAGTCTAGTCTTCAAAAAAACAAGATCATTTTAACGTCGCGTCTCAGTCAGGTTTACATTGTGAAGATTAAACGAACGTTCACTCGTATTGTATAAGTATTGTATCTCATCTTACTCTAATTGCGTGCTGTGACTTTGGTATTTGTAAGAGCGTAAAAGATCGGCGAGCAGAGTGGCCTGTGGAGTGCCTTCCAGAAGATCGAGCGGCGTCTTCTTCTGGTTGTTTCTGGCCTTCTCGAGGAGTGTGCCACTTTTGTCCACGCTTATCAGGAAACAAGCTAATGCTAATTGAGTCTTTGCGCCTTGCTCCGCCAGGTTCTGCCAGATCTGCCCGAAAGGAAGACGTTCATCAGAAAAAATTATATACATGTATAGGATTGGCCCACGTATTCAACGCAAGAACTTGGACGACGTACGGCATATATTAGCGGTGAATCCCGGCTACTTTCGGATGTAGGCACGGCAGTCTGTTGATTCGGGCTCTTGGCTATCGCGATATGTAGCACGGTGTCACCGTCGTCGTCTGTGCTGCCGACGTCCGCGTTGTGATGCACCAGCAGCTCAACGAGCGACCAGTGGCCCTTCAAAGTCGCCAGGTGCAACGGCGTTTGCCGCAGATTGTTGCGCAGATCGACCTTGGCGCGGCCGCCGTTCTGTGACAGAAGAATAGCTGCAACTTCCCTGTGTCCCTTTAACGCCGCCAGGTGCAACGCTGCAAATCCATCCTTCTTTTTCACGTCCACCAAGTGACGCGCGCGTGCAACCAGCCTCTCCATTGCACTGTGAAATCACAGATTTGCGAGATGAATTAGACTCGTGCGAATTTTAAGTTCGGCCAAGCTACACTTGATTTAATCTGCCTTGTACACGTACTGAGCGTTGCCCTTGCGCGCGGCGTGATGGAGGATGTTGAAGTCCTCTTTGTTTCGCAACGTGAAGTCAACCCTGTCACAGATGCATAACGCGTCGATCACGTCCAACGCGTCCTCTTCGATCGCGTCGTGCAACGCTGTATCGTCGCACGAGTCCTGGAGATTAACGTCGCAATGAAATCGCAGCAATACCCTCACGCACTGCACGTGCTGG